ACCGGCACCGGCACCGCCGCGCACAGCCGCACGCTCACACAGACACACATACACACATGCGCGCACACATACACACACGATCCAGGCTCGTTCAGACTGCTTGTGTTTATATATATATGGATATATGCGTGCATCTATATATATATAAGATCGATACCAATAGGGAGCGGTGGAGAAGGTCGATCCGAGCGAGAGCGTTTAGACCGTGTTGGGAAAACGGGGTGGAGATGCGTAATGCACCAAAACTGCAGATGTGCCGAGGGGTTGGTTGGTTGTGGGAAGAGGGCTTGAGTGGGTGGGCTTGGGATTTTTTTTTAATTTTATTTTGTTTTTATTTTTTCTCCAAATTATACCCCTCTCGCAGCAAGGACCACCACTGTCTGCACCTCTTCTCTCCCCTCCTCCCCCTCCCTCCTAGCACTCTTCCCCCTATCCCCAAAAGGGCTCTCTTCTATGAATCACGGAAACTTTTTTTCTCCTTTCTCTCTCCCTCTTTTTTTATTTTTTTTTTCAATGGGAGCAATCCAAAAAAGGGAAGCAGAAGCAAAATAATCTGGTTAATCAGAGGGTGTCTGCTGCATTCCAGCGCCCTATTTTTTTTGGCCAAACCGTAGAATTTTGGTGCAAGGCAGACATCCACTCTGAAAACATATATATCTATATATCTATATGTTCTGCAAAATGAAACGGGCCACTTTTTCCAGGAAGAAAAAATATGCACACAGCACTGAAAACAAGCAGGCTGAATAGGGAAGCAAATACATATATATATATTTATCTATATATATAGGTATAGCTATAGAACAAAAATATGGAAATAAATGCCCGCACGCCGATAAAACTGACCCTGAGGAGAAAGGTGGGAGGGACAGACGCCGGGGGGAGTGTGGGAGAAGGAGATGTTGTTGGTACCTAAAGTTCGAGCTCTGTAGAAGGACTTTGCATGAATTAAGGGAACCAGCGAGAGAAAGGGAAATAATTTAGGGCTGTCAAAGTCCTATTCCTGACGGCTGCCAATCATCATGGAAGAGTCATAAAAAAAAAATCCACTGCTAATATTTTTTTTATTAATATTTTTATTTTTTATTTCTGGACTGATTCAGATAAAGGGATTTAGAAGGACTGAGCATCTGCAGCTGCACTTATCTGAACTTCTCCTCTCCTAAATCCGTTGCCAACTTTGATTGAATGGGTGCTGTGGATGTGATTATATAATACTGCCATTTCCAAGCAGTGTTTTTGGTAGGTTTTAATAAACAGACTTTTCAAAAAGACGGCAATATAGAATTGTTAGATCCGTTGTTGATCTAAAAAAAAAATTTGCTTTATATTTTCATTAAATGACTTCTTTTAATATTTTATTCAGAATACCTATGAACTGCTGCAAAACGGTAATTTATTTTTTCCCCAGATCTTGTATTACGTGTTTTTTTCAGACGAGCACAAATCAAAATGAATTGAAAATATGGACAGTTGTTAGGTAATAAGGGTATCTTTTGATGTGATAATTTGATTGTAATTTAATTTGAGTAGTGATTCCGTAAGAGCTGATTGAGAAAATAAATTTGTTAGAATGAAATAGTCTGTGTCTGATGCATAAACATGTCAAAAAAAAAAAGGTTCTCTGAAGGGATATACTGCTGAAGGGAGAGAAATACCGAGGGTCCGATCTGCCGGTCGCACGGCCCTGTGCTCGCCGGCAGTGCCCCCATCGCACCCCTGCCGCTGCCGGCCCGGCGCGGGGCTCACTCCCTGCCCGCCCCTCCTCCGAGCCCGTGTCCGCGGCCCCTTCCATCAACCCGGGGACCCTGTGTCACCGGGAAGGACGGCGAGACTAGAGATCACCAAAGGCCACCTTCTCCCACAAAGGGCTGTGTCGGCTCAGTTTAGGCTGGCACTTGGGCGCGGGTGATACCTGAGCGTGTCCTCTGGTCCCGCGTGGCCGGTGCTGAGAGGGATGTTTCCAAAAGTTCAGTCTAGTTTCCTCGTTTTCCAAACTGAGGCTTGGGGGGGCAAAGAAGGGCAAGGGGGGCTAAGCTATAATTTATTTTTATGCATTTTATGTATGTATTAATATTTGTATTTAATTTATCTTTATAATTTAAGGAAAAGGTACGTTCATTTTTTTTTCTGACTGAATATATAGAATAATACTTTCAACATCCTACGTGCTGTCTGCCTAGTTCACCATTTCTGTTGTTGCTGTTGCTGTGGCTGTTGTTGTTGTTTTAGGGTTTTTCTATGGGGTGTGAAGTGGTGTAGCCTAGTTTTCTCCTCCACTCTGCCATAGCGCTGCCATGCCATCTTTGCAAACACACGCGTGTCAGTAATGTTGGAGATGCCAATAGATGCACTAGCTGACCTCTCATACTTATCCACTATAATTTATTGCAATATAGAGACAAGTGAATGACCGTCTCAACTCTCTTCATTTTGCAGCGGGGAGGTTATGGGAAGTAGAGAGCTGCATCTAATGCATCTACCTGCCCCCACTGATAGTCTGCTGGAGAATAAGGTTTTCTTTTATGATCCAGCTCGCCCCTGGGCTCCTTCCTCACCTTCCTCTTCCTCCCCTCCTCCGCACCCCCTCCCTCGCCTTGCTTCTCCCGAGTGCTGTTGAGGCAGGGGTTAAACCCCCAGAAAACTGCTGCAGGAACAACAAGCATTTCTTCCTTTCAGATAGGCCTTGTGTCACTCCATAAATCAAAGCCAACCTGAGAGCCGGGCACCGGGATGCATTATTTTAACACCAGCTCGTAGTAAATATCACCGTCGGTTTGATTTGTGAAATCCAAAAGGCCCTACTGACACGGAGGAAAAAAAGCGGGATGGGGAGAAGCCAAACCAACAAAGGGAAAGAGAACCCGAAAGGGTAAAGGACGCTCTTTCTTTTGTTCGTTTTAGCAGAAGCTGCTGGCTGATTTTGCTGCTGGGTAGGGAAAAAGGGTCGGGCGGGGGCTGGCGGGCAGGCGGGCCGGCCGGGCCCCCCTCCGGGGGCCGGGTACCACCGACACGTCAGGTGGGATCCTGTTTTCACACACGAAGGGGAGCGATTTTATTAGCCGCGGAGAACGTCTATTTAAATTTCAGAGCGGTATTTGGTTACTCGATTTGGATGGCAACAAAGAGCTAACGTTAGGCTTCACGCTGGTTTCTATTAAAAGGCAACCTTTGCGGGTTGCTGCCTCCGAAAAGCTAGGGGTTAGGCTGGAGGAGTAACGTGTGGTCGAAGGGACTGGCAAAATGTGCCCGTTCCGTGGACTTGTTATGCACAAAAAGTGAAGCCATGGGCGCTACCCCCCGCCGCCCCTCCGCCCCCTCCCCCGCCCCCGAGAAACTGAATCCTTTGAATGTATTTAGGAATTTCAGGGTTGTGAGTCTCTGAGATAGCAAGAGGTAGATAATAAATGAGAGGGTTTGCGCTAAGGGTTATATTGTTACATGTGTAAATAATGAAAATATTGTTATATATCGCCAGATCTCTTAATGAATTTAGTAATTGTATTCATTTATAATATCAGTGTTCTGTGCTTGGTAACGGAGTCGGCATCATTTTCCTTAGTCTTTTTTTTTTCTACCTAAAGGAGAGCCAAATGTTTTACAAAGTCATGTTTGCTCAGACTGGGTAATTCCGAGATGTGATTATTTATAGTTTACATTTTCATATTCTGTGATCCTTTACTACGCCCCAGTCTTCGTACATCCTATCCTTCCCCCGTCGAGTCTGTACACAATAAATCATTTTCAGGTGTATTCAAAATAGTCATCTCACTGCTGTTGGTCTGTGTATTTTCCGAAATTTAGCAAAGACCTCTACTTTCATTTTAAAATGCAGCGGTTCCTATCAGAAAGTGATCTTTACAGAACCCTTTGCTTTACTGTAGTGACTCGTGTTTGCACATTACAATGCTCATAATTTGTTTTGTATGAATGGTTTTAAATGGAACGTTTAGAGAATAATTGGTTCTAATATGAAATGCAGTATATACTATTGATAATTTTATCAATAAGTGTACTATTTTAAATAATTTTAACAATTAAATTTGTTTTTTTAAATTATATATTTGTAAAATATTTATCCTGTTGAAAGCAACAATATATTGTTGTATTTATTCGTTTATTTTTGTAATAAATGATCAACATCTTCAAGCTACAGCAAAATCGATACTTCTATATATTTATACAGGGATACCTTTCTGAGGTGCAGAGATGCTCGTTCCAATTTGGAAGCGAGTGTAAAAATTACCTCTGTAACTGGCAGGCTGCAGGACCAAACTGTAGGCGTGAGCTTCTTCCCCACTTTAGTTTGCTCGTGTTCCAGAGTAACTAATACAACTCTAAAAGGGATGCAACAAGTCCTGGCCTCGGAGGCAGGCGTGGGGCAAGCGCTTGAGGACAGGGACCCATTTTGCTAAAGCCAGGGTCGGCGAGGAGCTTGGTCGCCTGTGGCGAGAGGGATGGATGGAGCAAGTGGAGGAGATGCAGGGAGGTGATTATTGCCCCATCGGTGTTTTCAGTTGCAGTTTGGCACAATGGAGCGGGCGCAGCGCTCAATAGGCGGCGGGAGCGAGAGGAGAGGAGGGCGAGCGGCCCCGCAGTGTCAATGACACAGCAGTAGGGAGTTCTTTGGTTGAGAGGCTTTGGCGACACAAAAAGCTAAGGGGTGAAGGCCGAGCGGGGGAAGGTTCGCCGCCCATCCCGTCCTCCCCGACACCAAAGGAGCAGCCAGGTCCGCGGAGGTGCCCACGTGGCCTCGCCCCCGGGGCCGCGCTGGGACCTGCCTCGTCCCCACCCCTCTCGAACCGGGCGGCTGCGGCCGGGCCCGGGCCGCGCCACGCGCGGGGAAACGCTGGCACCGCGTTTCCCTACCCGTGGGAGGCCGGTCCGGGGCAGCGCCGACGGGGCGGCCGCCGGTGCCCGGCTGCGCTCCCTCCCCGCGGGCCGTCCCGGGGCGGCGGGCGGCCCGGGGGAGCCGGCGGGCGGGCGGCGCGGTGGCGCGGCGGCAGCTGCCGCCGGTCCCACAAGTTGTTTTCCTCGTGGCGACCATTCAGCAAAACGCAGGATCCTTTCTCCAAGATTTAAATTTCGCGGATGAATTACCATACAGCGGTTGCTTAGCAACTAAATTCAAGCCGGGCTAAGAATATGCAAGCTTTTTGTATTCTCATTAATAAAAATGCCACTCTGACACAGCAACCTGACTTTGGATCACTGCAACTTCTGTAAAAGCCATAGGAGAATACAAACGGGCTCCTCCATTTAATTACAGATCAGAGTGGCTTGAAATGTGATGTTTTGTTAATCTATCTTCCTAAAAGCGATGTAAAAAATAACGGCTTTTCAAGAGCAGTGGAAAACTACTTTTTTAATGGAGCTGTCTCCTGGTGCTACTGATGGCTGTAAAGCGAAACCTTTTTTTGAGTCACACTTTCAAGTAGCATCCCTCCTTCCGTTTTGAGTTTCCTGAAATCAAAAACATTAAGACATTTGTAGCCACAGGGGAAAAAATAAAATAAATAAGCTGCAGCAAATTAGCGCATTAGAGAGGAGAGCATCGCTCGGGAAAGGGAATAGGAGATTAAAATTGTCAAGGTGCAGCCCCAGCCAGGCAGAGATCCACGACGCGGGGTGCAGTCTGTCCTTGCTCAGAAGCAGGAGTCCCTTGCTCCGAAATGGCTCTCTTTGGCATAAAGTGCGTGGGTACATCGGCTGGGGAGGGCGGGGGAAAAGGCTTCAGGGACACCTTGTTGAATGTTTCTCTCCAAAATTTATTTCCCCTTCTGCTAACATTTACTTTAGATTGCTTTCAGATCGCCAGAGATAAGATCTTGGAGTTAGATTCTGGCACCATGCACCCAGTCTCGTATATATGGGAGAATGACCTCATCAGGGGAGGACTGTGTGTATAGATAGAATAATTTAAACATAGACTAGACACCTACATATAAATCTATATATAAAGATGTGTGTGTATGATATAGATAGATATATGTGTATGTGTGTGTATATATGCCTTTAGCAGTACCAAAAACTTCCCTGCCAGCCCCGCAGATCCCCGGCAGGGCTGCCTTCCCCCACAATGTTCGGAGGGAGTGCTGCCCCCTCCGCGGGGCAGTGGGGGGAGCTCCGGGGCTCGGCTGCACCCAAGGTGCTTGGCAGTCAGGGCTGGGGCTGCCTCTCCCTGCCGGCCATCGGCGTTGTGTGGCGGGGAGGGCCGCCTCGGGACCGGGCACCGACTGCCAGTGACGCTGTTCGCTTTTGCTAATGGCTGGGGGTTTGGTTGTGGTGGGGTTTTTAGCAACAAAGAGTTAAATCCAAACTTTTTTCCCTTTTTGTTTCTTTTGTTGTTTTTGGTGTTGTTTCCCCCCCCCCCTTTCGAGATTTCTGAAATGGAGCCAGAATGGTGTAAACCCCAAGCCACGTTAAAAGTTCAGGCATGGGTTTTTTTCTCCGACGGGACTTGTCTGCAAGAGGTGAAGGGGAACTTGTAGGTCTGTCCGAGCTGTGCAGATCACTGAGGAATCAGGGGTTCCCCCGTCCTCCCCACTCCCACTTCTCTCTTTCTCTTTTGAAGTTTTCTTTTCTGCCCTGAAAGAGGGAGGATGATTTGAAGGGGGGCAGTCAAAAGGGGAAGGCATTTTCCAAACGTGAGTTTGTGGTGGAGGGAGCTCACTCTCTCAGCAGGATTTAGTCTCTACTCACTTTAAAACGTAGAACAGCAGAAAAAAATCCCATATAACAAATACTAAGGGAAGAAAGGCAGTGAAGTAAGAACCTGTGAAGACTAGAGTCCCCTTGAAACTCAGGTTTACCCAAAGCTTTAGCAAAGTGTTTTGCTTCTCTCTCCAACGTTTATAGGATGTGTATCACAAGACTACAGCATAAATAATCAGATTCCATTCCATTTTGCATCTCTCTCTAACAGAGTTGAGATTAAAAGCCAAAATTTGAGCACAGCCCTTACAGATCAGTTGAATAGTGCCAGTGCATATGTTTCCAACTCACATGTTGAAAACTGTACCTTCAAACTTAGGCTTGTTTCTGATAGCTTGCATTTCTTCAACTACAAGGCGAAAAAAGATAAACAGAACTTTTCTGAACTTTTCCTATTGCGCCCATCCATGGGGAGAAAAGACAGTATTACATCAGCTCTATACCTTCAACACAAGCAGGGAAGGTTTAGCAAGAAAAGCTCACTGGTATACCACAGTGGAAAACTTTATTTTAGACTTGGGACAGTTCAAACCAATTTGACACCAGCACTGAGCACCACAAAGTATTTGGTTTGGGAACAAACTCCTCTGCGGTAGTGTGAATTGTCGCTTGATGCCAGATGCATGGTTACTCCAAATGTCCCCTCGCTGCCTTTCTTGTAAGGCTCATGGTACACAGGAGAGCTTCTACCCACAGAGACAGTGCTTTTATATCAGACCACTGTGCCTTGCTCCCCAAAGTCCAGATCTCGGGGCTCAGCAGAACTATTTTTTCTCAAAAGGAAAAGGGGGAAAATGGATTAGAAAAAGGGAACTAGCTGGGGACTGTTACCCTCACTGGTAGTAGGCCTGCTCTTAAAAAACAATGTCAAGGCGCTGTAATAGCATGTGAAATGACAAAGATAGATGCTATTTCTTCCTGAGGTCCACACTGAGTGGAAAAAGTCAAAGGGCTGTTGACTGTCTTGTGTATGGGGCCATTCTTTCAAATTGAAATGAATTGATTTAAAAAAGCAAGGACTGGCTAATGGGGAACCTGGTATGGCTGCTATATTTACGTGCATCAAACTGAAATTTAAACAATTTGAGGGAACATGAGCTGTATAAACATTTTATATATAGTAACATTTTGTTAGTAGTTTTGGAAATGCTTGATGCTACTTCCCTGTCATCGCTCCATATAGCTGACTATACAGCATTCAGTTCACGCTACAGTCGAGCAGGAACTGTTTGCTCAACAACTCCAGGCTCCACTTTCAACTGGAGTACTAATGTACACCCTGAGCTGGCCACAAAAAAACAGGTAGCCTGATGTTTTTAGACCACTTCACCAACCAGGCAGATAAAATACATAAAGTAAGTGCATAACTGTAAGGGAGCTGTGGACTAGAGGGTCTTCTGAAAGGTTGGTTTGCTTGTTTGGATTTTTCCTGCCTCTGTGTGAGTGCAGTGAGGATCTTCTGAAGCTGAGTTTGGGCTCATCTCTTCACCTCCCCTCCACGTTCAAGACATTGCAAATATTTACTAAGTACAAAAGATATGAGAAGTGCTGGGCATTAATCATTATTATATCCCTTCCCTGACAGGAAATGGGCCCAGAATAGCAGAGCTGAAATTAATCTTTCTAAAAAAAAATGAGTTTGTAAAGAATTGTTCTGGAGTAACATACATTTCGTTCATCTCCTGGAGCTCTCATTCAAAACAGAGGTCTGTCTGCCCAAGTGGGACATTTCTCAGAGAACTGTAATAGATATTTGTTCCAGCATCCACACTAAAACTACAGACCACATGTAAGGTGCAAAGCTCTAGATTTGTTTCTCTCTCACACACATATGCATCCTCACAAACATGCAAATCTACACTCCTTTCTCTTCCTAATATAACAAAACATTTTTATGTTTTGTTATACATTTTTATGTTTTGTCTATTTTATGCAGATCCATAATCAGATGTGTACCAAAATTTTTAACTCAGTTTGCTGAAATTGCTAGATTGTCGAGGAAATTAAACTAAACAAGGAGATGTGTGAAATGTTGAACTTTAAATGCCATCCACTAACTCGAGAAGAAGAAAAATGAGTCAATAAACACTCAGGTTTCTGCTAATTTTAGATAATCATGATTAAAAGAATAATTTTGTTAGATTTTTTAATTTTAATTTTTTTTTATCATGATGAGAATCCCCTTATGCTGTAATAGTGGGTATTTGAAGGTAATGTCCTTTCCCTTTTGATTTGGGACTGAAGAACGGGGTTACGGTGTCTCCCCTTGGTGTTAATGACGGATACAGAGACGTTTAATCTTTCAAGCGGTATGTGTATTTCTGTGAATACTAGGCGAGATGACAATATCATTGTCAGCAGCTCAGAAGAGGCATGTTTTACCTGAAGAACTGGTCTTGGGCTGGATGCTGCTGCTGTTCTGGGTTTGGGGTTTGTTTTTTAATTGCCCTGCCTATTCTCTCAAGTCCATATTAATGCCATACGGCACGGCTGAGGCCAGGGCTGAGTGAGCCCCGTCATTAACAATAGCATAAACAAAGGAAGGGGACCAGTTACCTTGACATTCGATGCCCGCTTTGTTCCCGAGCTTCCAACTGCATCCTGAAGCTCATATAGGGAAGTATCGCCTACGGGAATGCATAATCCACTCCAGCTATTGTCCCAATCTCCTGGAAAACAAAACAACAGAACCAAAACAAAGATGACAACACACCCCCTATCCGCAAAGAGCCTGCGAATGGTTTCATCCCCTCCTGCTTTTCCCCGCGTTTTTCCTGGCCACTCGTGTTACTGACCCGCTCCCCACAAGCGCTGCCCGCTGTAGCCCAGAGGCGTATCCCGGTTTGCGCAAGCACCCCCCAGCCTCCTATTCCCCAGTTTCTAGAGGAAATGGGTCTGGAGACACCCCCTCTGTGCTCTGCAGGGGAGTAAGGGGAATGAGCGCTCCTGTGCCTGCGCAGCCCAGCCGTGTCCCTCCAGAGACCGGGCCGCACCCGGGGGATTCCGCGTTAGACAGGGCGGCCCGGCGGGGTGAGCTGCCCTCCGACCGCCCCAGCCCTGCCCGCCCCCCCGGCCTTTCAGCAGGCGGGAGGGTTTCACCCCCTCCCGGTGGCGCGGCGTGGCCGAGGGGCAGCGCGACATCCCCATGCACCACCGCGGGGATGCGAGGGAGGCGGAGGGCGAACGTGTCCCTGTGTGTGTGTGTCTGTGTGTCTTCATTGTCCTTCCAGCTTCGCCCTACCGGAACGGTTTTCCCCGAGGAGGGGCCCTCCCGGCCTTGCCCTCCATGCCTAGCAGCTCCTGCTCTGTAGCCCCCTGTTTTGGCAGAAAAGCCCGGAGCAGCCCCCTTGCTCACGTGCAGCCGAAGAAGCCTGCCTGGAGCGGGAACATCTCTTTCCTCTGCCAAAATAATTAAGTTCCCCAAACCGAGTTTCATCTTCCCCTTTCTCCTACAGTCCTATGCTGACCGTCGGAGCAGAGGGACGAAGAGACACCCTCTCCCCCAAGTATGCAGGGGTTGGTTTGACCCCATCCTTTCCCGCTTCAGGGGCAGCTTTTGCTCCCGCTGCACTCCGAGGGGAGCAAGTTCAAGCCCTGGGAACCCTGCGCCTTCACCTGTGTCTTCGGGAGAAGATGAAGGAGACCTAGTGGCATAGCCTGAGGTAGAGGGGAGGCCTGGGGAGACAGATCCCAGCTGCCGCCAAATCCATCCTCGCAATGTGCCTGTATGTGGGGAGAGGGGAGGCTTACAGGGGTAGTGAAGGAGGTAGTTTGAACCTAAAGCCTTGCTTCAAAGGTTAAGAGCTCCCTCGTCAAAGGCTGCCAAACGTTACTGGGCCGAAGAGAGGGGAGAAGGGGGGTGGGGGTGGGGGAAGAACATCGACATTACTGCAATTTTCAAAGCACTGAAAATAGCTCTGGGAAATCCCGAGGATCCGCCACCGATTCTTTTTTTTTCCCGGGACATATGCATTAGGGAAAGCTTTTCCCGGATGTGTTTGTGATCAAGGCCAGCGGGAGCTGCGGCTGCCTTTGGGGTGGAGGGGAGGGGAGCTGCGGGCCGGGGCTGCCCCCGACTCCCCCCCATCCCCCGCACCTGCAGCCTCTGGCTGCTCTGGGGACCCTGCTGCTGCCGGCTCTGTGACCGCCCCCCAGGCCGTGTTGGGAGCAAACCCACTCCCAAATCCTCCCCTCACCCCGGCCCCCGGGCCGTGCTCCCGCCGGGAGCCGCGGCGGCCGGGCAGGGGCCGGCCCCGGCAGCCCTTTATGCGCAGCGGTCAGCAGCCGGCTTGTGGGTTTGCAGCTGCATGCAAATAAATCCCTGGCAATAATCTAACGCGCGTGTGCTGCCCCGACGACAAAGTGCCGACACAAACGCAAGTGCTTTTGTTTGTTTTTGACCATCTAGGTCCCGCAACCAAGAGAAACAAATAAAACTAGGGAGGGAGAGGGAGAAAGTTGATTAATACGTATGTTCCATCCAACGCATCGTGCTTTTGTGATATACGAGAGCCGAAGATTTGTCTCCTGCACCTTTACGAGATCTGCACAAGCACCCATCCCAGCTGAAGGAAACGATTCCACGCGTGATGAGCAGGAACGACGTGTCCTGCCTACCCGACCGCCCACTGCACCTTAGTTACTATGTTCCCACGTGGAAAACACATCTCTTTCCTCAATTTTCAATTAATTACAGCTGTATTAGATACGGGACCGGTGTGTGCGTGTGCGTGAAATTTTGTACCCTCTCTTCTGTTGCAGGTAGAAGTTTTTTGTTTGTTTTACTTCTCTCCAAGAAAGGTCTGTTTGCATGTATAGGGGTTGGGTTGTTTGGTTTTTTCCTTGTCCTTTTGTCTTAAGCAAAAGCTGAGTTTTTGGGATGGGATGAAGGGAGAAAAAAAGAGAGAGAGAAAGGAAGGGCATCTTTGAGAAGGAGTTGGAGTGGGAAAAGAAAAGAAAAAAAAAAATCAAACAGCAAAAAAATCCCAGCAACCCAATTCCAGAGAGAAAGGGTGGGCATAGAGGTTTTCCAATTGCCATTCTGCAGACTGGCATTAAAAACAAACAAAGAAACAAAACAAAACAAAATACACATTGAAGGCTGGTTCGGGGGAGAGCTTTACTTTTGTGAAGTGTAAGTTTCTGAGGACAAGAAATTCTTGGTGACGTCTAGTGTCCCCCGGGACAGGCTCGTCCCCCCGGAGCCGCCGGAGACCGAGGGGCAGGCAAGGCGCGAGTGCTGGCTCTCCCTCTCTCGCCCCTAACTTTGTGAAAGAGGGTCGTTATCGTTGTGGAAAAGATCGTTTCCCTGGCAAGAGAGGGGCAGCTGGGCTCCAGCCCCTCCCTGCTACCAGCTCCCACTGAGGGTGTGAGCAGTCGGTGCGCGTACCCCAGCTCCGACGGGTCGACCCCCGTCTTTGCTCGGTCCACCTGAGCCAGTCCCACTCCACTTTCGCATTCCACCCCTCGTGGAGGGGATACTCCCCCGTAGCCGCCGCACTGGGCAAACAGGGGCAGCCCTGTGACCAGCTGGCCAAACCGCGGCCCTGGGGCCTCCCCCCTGCACATTGCCCTCGGGGTCTTTCCCAGACTTTGCCCTACTCTCTCAACTCTTCTCTCTGGCCTTACTCTTCCCCAGCTTTCCCGGCCGCCGCCCCGCTGAGCCCGGCACTCCTACCACCTAGGTCTCGCCAGCGGCGGGGCAGCCGGAGAGTGGCAGGGCGGGGGATGACCATACCCTTTGGCATCTCTCTCGGCTGCCTGCCTGCCCGTCCTGGTTTTTCCTGCCCTTAGCCCTGTGGCCGCCGCTCTGGCCTCCCTGGCACGCACAGAGCACGACCCAGCTGCCTCTTGTCCCGTCGGGGGCCTTTTTTCTTCTCTCCCCCCATACCTTCCTGGGCACGGGCTGCAGCCACCCCCCCCCCGCGAGAGGGCTCTGCGGAGCCCTTCAGCCTCGCTGCCCACCGCTACTCCTCGTCTCCGTCGGCAACACAAAAGCCCTGAGCAAAGCGGCCAAGCAAAGATGGCACAGCAAAGCCGGTGCCCTCCCTGCAATGCTAACTCCAAAGAGGAAACTTCCCTCCGGGGCTGCGCTCCTAAGCCCAGGACTCCCTTAACCTTTGCAGCTTTCGGTGGGAGAAGGAGGTGTTTGTCACCCAAGTTTCCTCTCGTACCTTTATGTCACGCGAGGCGGGACAACGTTGCGCCTGTTTCGCAAGCCAAAAGGAAACTTCTGAGCGATGGGCTCGGTGCCATGGGCTGGGAAGGGTCTCCGGATCACACCCCTGCCCTACACCCCATACACAACCTCCTCGCCTCTCTCTTTGAAACTGTGTTTAAAACAACAGCTGAAACACAATTAATTGTAACTGATTAACATGGATTAGTTTGGCCTTCAAAGCACTTTAAGTCAATTCAGCAGCCATAATAATAATTAATTCATTAATAAGTACTATTGGTGCTTCACCGCTAACGCCAAGAAAAGTTTCCCTGAGAAGTACAGGTGGCAGGGAGTGCTAAAATGAAAACATTCGCATGCAACTTTTTAACCAGAAGGGAAAGCACTTTGGTTATATTTGGAGACATGTGTCTCACACATTTCCCCCGTTTTTTGTAAACTATGTAAGAATAAACATTACAGCTCTGGGCTTTTAATTTCTCCAGATGGAACCATAAAGTACCTAGTAGATTTTTTTTTATATATATACTATACAATTGAGGACACATGTCTGCTTTTCCCGATGAGGACCGAGAAGCAACTTAATTTGAAGGCATAACTACTGAACCACATTTTGAATAGCACACTCGAACAAGTTCACTTTAAAAGGCAGGAAACCGCTAAGAGCACAGCACTGAAAGTTGCTCCTTCCCACTTGAGCTCGCCCGCCTGACCTTCACATACACTTTGTCGTTTCGCACACACTTACAGAAGTACACACGCGCGGAGGTGGCAGGGTGCCTAGCCATGGAGGGGGCTTTTCCAAGGCGGTCGCATCCCCAAGAGGCTCCCCCAGCTCGCTGCAGGCTGAAGAGGCCGGTCGGGATCCCACCTTCGGCGCGACGGAGGAGCCCTCTGATCCTCGGGTGACGTGAGAGGTCTCCTCCTGCCCACCCCGGCTGAAGTAAGGGATTCACTTACCCTCTCGGTGCTCCTCTCCGCTCCTCACACACACACTTGTGCGCCCAGAAAAGCGCTCTCGTGAAGGGCCAAAGGAGGGAGGGAGCCTCGAACCCCCACCGCTCGGCTACCTTAGGGTTACAGGCATGCTGAGGGGGAGGCAGGAACCCCTAGGCTGGATGACAAATAATAATAATAAAAAAGTATTTAATAAGTCCAAGAATAAGATTTCTTGCTTAATTGTTTATTTTTTGTTTGGTTGGTTTTGGGAGCGAAGGTTGGTGATTGGAATGACCAAAATACCTTACACATCTCCCTAACTAGACTTAGCTTCCCTCCTCCTTCTCCCAGCCCCCCAACCCCCTCCCCCCCATTCTGACTTACATGTGTTTAAAGCAATGGCAAGGAGCTCCCAACTGGAGCCCTGGCAGAGGGTGCGTTTAAACTAGGATGATTTAGACCCCGAGAGCTCGGGTCCTGACTGTGAGCCTCCAGCCCCGTGTCAGCTGGGCTCTGCAGACAGTCTTAAATATGCATAACGAACAGTTCGCTTTCTTAAAGGAGAACTTACCCCACTGGAAAGTTCATGGCCTGACGGCAGGCATGGGAGCGGGGTGCGGGGATGACCTTTGCGCCGGGACAGCTCTAACCCCTTCTCAAGGTGGTCTCCTTACAACGCTCAGCGAGAGGGCTGAGGGCACCCGGCCGCCTTTCGGCTGGGAACTGGGGGAAGAAGCGTTGGCGGGTCAGTCATGGGCTTAGTGAGTTGCGGACCAGCGGCTTCACACACCGCCCCAGTCCCTCCTGTCCTCTGTGTGCGAGGGGCCGAGCCGCGCACTTGGAGCAGCCCCGCTCCGGCGGACCCCGAAGCAGCCACAGACCGGCTGCCCGAAAACTTGCGGGGTTCTACAAAGGGGGGAAACGCGGGACTCCAAACAAGAATAAAAAGTGTCTGGGGGGAAGGAGAGGGACTGATTAAATACCCAGCCAGTAGAGCCCAGGCAGGCCGTGGAGATTCCATGAGCGGCTTTTTGGAAAGGAGAAATAACGCGGGAGAGGGACGAGAGACTGCCCGTGGATTTCGCCCAGCTTCCCAGTTGGAACCGGCCGGCCCCCTCTCCCCGGCCCTTGCAGGATCTTCTCCCGGTAGGAGGGACGGCAACGCCAGGCCCTCGCTAGCCCACTTGCCCCTGGTTTTGCCCTGGGGGGCCCCCAGGGGCCGAGCCCCGACAGCCGCCGTGAGGGTGCAGGCGGCTCCGGGCGCTACCCACGGGAAAGGGGCATCCCTCTGCGGGGCTGGCTCCCCCCGTTTCGGACAAAAAGAGTGGTTTTTTTAAATTACTATTCTTTTTTCCTCCCCTCCACACACGTGGTTGTAAAGTCTGTAGCGCCATCTAACGGGAGGCGGAGGCCGGGCCGTGCCGCGCCGCCCAGGGCAGAGGAGAGAGCGGCTGGGGCGGGATCGCCTTGGGAAGTGCCCCTGGCACGAGGAAGGGCGCTGATCCTGTGCTTAAAACCTGCCCGAAAGGTGCTTTGTAACCCGACCAGGGCATTATCCTTCAGGAGCTTCCCTCAACTTCTGCGGTGTTATTTTTATTTATTATGTCGTTGTAGCTGTGAAGAACTGGTAGAGTAACTGGTTTTTTTTGGGAGAGGGGGCAGGTTAGGGAGGAGGAATGAATAAATCCCATCAGAGCCTGACACAGTTGGGGATGGAAAGGAGGAGGCTCACTCAGCCCAGCACATTTGACTCTTTCCCTTTTTTGGGAGGTCAGAGAGGGCCCCAGACAGCTGCTGCATCTTACAGGCCCCAAATTTCTGCTGCTTCTTTAGTATCCCAGAAAGCTTTCTGTTTCCAAAATTTTTGAGCACATGCTAAATTTTATGGTTAAATTAGGATGCTGCCCTTTTGCCAGAGCACTTCAGCCATGCCTCTGTCCATATCCAGATGGGAGGCTTCTGACTTGATCGCCCCAGTTCTGTTTAAGTACCGCATTAGTTGCCCAGATAGGAGCCTGCTCACCCCAGGCCCATGGCATGAATGACCAAAAGAAACAGAGACTCTCCTCGACATTTGGACTCATATAAGATCACAGCTAATCTCTACAGGTGCCTGCCTTGCTACAGCTCTTGCCACCTGTAAGGACTCAAGTTAGAATTAGAGAATATAGGTACTTCTGCTGAACAGGATAGAAATTTTTCTTTAGGTTTGAAATTTTTCTTTATTCTGCTTCTGTATTTCTGTTACAGGTACAGAATACAAGCTAAGTCTTCAAATACACATACCATTTTACTGTATTTACTTAGGTCTTCTGTACACACATGTTGGCAGGAGTCCCAAAGAAGCACAGAAATCTTTCTGTCCATACTTGAAGTCATAAAATGGTAGCGTAGCCTTCAGCTAGAAACAATTGTATTTTCATAGGCCACTCAAACTGGATGTATTTTTCAGCCCAGATTGTCCAATACCCTTGGATGTCACTTCTGCACGTGGCAAATCCTGTGTGACTTAGAAGGCCAGGTTACATTTACCCAAGGGATTTTAGCAGATTAAGTATCTGAGTGCCACTGACGTCCATTCACATTATAAAAATTAAACAGAATGCCATCACTGAACTGGTTTTATAGAATAGAAATGTTGATGTGCATATCCACAGAGAGGAACAGACTTTCCTTTTTGAGTCTGGAAATGCTCCTCTTATTCAACGATTGAGAGGAAGGGCAATTTCTGTCTACGCTGAAAAGAAAATGCATTTTTGGGTTCATGGGCAGTAGAAAACCTCTAATAGTCAGGCTAGGATATCTCAGAGTAGGCATGAAAAATGAGACACAGTCCAGTTCATTAGCTATCTATGAAGAGTTAGGCTAGAGAGGTTTATGGATAGTTCCAGTGAAGAATTTACATGTCTTAAAAGTTAGTTGTCTCAGTACTTAACTTTCAAGTGCCTTTCCCTAAGATTGGCATCCTTGATGTTGTGTTTGGCAATACTGTGAATTGAGAAGGTGCATATAGACAAATCCTTTGTGCCTTATCCAAAGCCATACTGTCCAGCAAAGGACAAGAACAGCAGAGAAGCCCAGGTTTGTGGTTGCATTGGGAAATAGAAATTACTGGTCTTAGCTGAGAGAATTTTTTAAACTAAGAAAGGAAAAGCTTTTCCTCCACTTTTACATGAAGAGTAGTGGAAGGACAGCTGCCCAGTGTCTTTCAGATGGAAGATTCCTCCTGCTTGTTCACTCCATAAGGAGCACAAATCCAGAAGGACAGCAGATGGCACATTTTGCTGTCACGATTTCCAGTTTCAGAAAGATCCTCCTGACATTGGTGAGGAAGACTTACTTTGAGCTCTGCAGTAGCAGGTATTAATTTGTTTCTATTGGGATGGGACATAAAGATTGTAATTCAGCCTAAAATATGACACCTATTTTCCCTTACTATATAATCTAGAGTACCTTGGGGTTTTCCTTATTATTCAAAGGAGTTAAGCTTTGGTTTTGAAATTACTTCAGTGTTGTGAGTTTTCTCAAACTTGAAATATAAGAATAGTTCCTTGAGCTAATTCAAGGCAATGCATTTCTCAGGTCAGCCCCAGGAGAGCCACAGGCAGGATCAGCTATGGCATGTCAAAGGTACCTTTCACTGTGCAACTTATGTGGGTGAGCCTATCACAAGCTTTTAATTCCGAACTTGCTGAAGTTGTGGTGGAAGGTTTCTGTTTCTTCAAAATTCTTTTGATGAGCCATTGGTGAATTACGTGATAGGCCTATTTGGTGGTTTTTCTGTTTGTTTGTTTGTTTGCTGCTTGTTTTCGTTTTGTTTTGTTTTCTAGGGGGTTAGTTCTGATCCAACTGAAAAAACTCTCTGTCAGCATCAAAGGCATCTCTCAGTGTTCTTCCCATCTCAGTGCAGAAAGATAAGGGGCCAAACCCTTTTGAGGTTCTTCTAGTAAAGCAAGTAGCACATGTATTCCTTTGTACAAAATTGGAGCATTCATCCACATGAAGGTATTTAATTAAAACTGGAGTAGTTTTCAGAAGTGCTAGGGAATAAGTAGTCTCAGTGGGTGCTCAGTCCCTCTGTAATTCACAGTCCCTTAATGTAGATGCCAATGTTTTAACTTGGCTAACTATCCTTAATATTTGGGTTTCAAACTTTTGGCCCACGCGTTCTGTTTCCTCAGGGCCCTCTAATCTTTAACTTTTACCATAGAAAAATCTTAATGTTTTCAAGGTTCCACCTTGCTAGCAATATGGTTTGAATCAGAAACACTGCACAGAGACTATTTTGATTTTAAACAAGAATAACCTTCTGGTTTTATTTCTGCAGGTATGAATAAAAATCTGAGAGATCTTGTGTTTTGAGCTTAGAGCTTGCCTTCTCTTGATAGCAGACAGCATGGACACCGTGATAAGGATCAGTGATACAACATGTTTTCCTTCATTAGAAACACAACCCTGACATTAAAAACAGCCTGCTGAAGAATCATATTCATTTAGTAATCATGTTATTTCACAATCAAGGGGTTACTATCCCTCCCCCTGCTCCAGCCTCCCTTTAGAACTGCCCATTTATGGACAACATCTGATATCAATAAGTTTATGATACCTATTTCTAAAAGCAATGCCTGCATTTCAAATGGGGTTTTAGCTGTTGAGTTATCAGATCCAGCACTAACTGCAGATGGGATTTATCTTCACTAACTTTAACCATATACTGGTTAATGCGTAGGCCAAATCTGGGCTCCTTCTGTATTCAATGGAGAAAGATGGAGAACTATTCATGCCAGGCAGCTTAGGCACCTATTAAAGCAAGGGATGAGTCACCTTTTGAAGTTGCCTGCATTGCTCAGTCGATTTTAGCAGGCAGACAGGCAGTTAGCTTCGTTATAGCATACCTGACCAGATGGCTGAAGTTAGGGTAGGTGGGTCCTGTCCTACCTCTCTGTAGGCATTGCAGACAAGAACATGCTACGTTCAGCAGTGGCTCAGAGCTCAGGACTAGACAAGAGGAGCTGTTATTTCTGACTGTGAATGTGTTTTGCCCATAATAAACATATATCTCTCAGACAGGCTCCAAAAAACTGACCCAGGCCTACAGCTCATTTGATCAATTTACAGTGATGCCGACTGAAATGCATTTTTATTTTTGCACCCCTTTATTCGCTATCCAGACCAGAGTGCTTCTCTGAAGCATGAGGTCTTATAGTTTTTTCATGACAGGATGAATTGAACCTTCCCTTTTTTTCAAATATTTTCTACATAACCACATGAGTCTAGGAGACAGACATTAAACAAAACAAGGACCTCTAAAACTCAAACCAAAACCAGGCAAAAATCAATATAGGAATACCCTTTAAATGTGGTTGCACTGTGTTGAAATGCACTCCTTTACCCATGGCTGGCATACATTCCTTGTAGAGAGTTAGATCTACATCATAATAAACTCAATTTTTTTCTCTCATTTTCCAGTTAGTGAGACCCCATGACCAGGAAGGTACGAAGGCAAGGGAGCTGCTGGGCCGGGCAGTTGTGGAAGAGACATACGTACCCCAAAGCTGGAGCCAGGTGGTGGTGGGATGAGTCACACTTAGCTTCAGGTTAGCTTAGGCTGAGTCAGCCTGCAGCACTGGGATGGAAACCAGCAAGTTGCCAGAGTCATGGTGCAAGATGGAGACCAGACAGGTGAGTCTCAGGAGTAAAAAATGACACGGGGAATGGCTGATTAGCAGTGGCAGAAGCAGAAGAATAACCCAGCACC